TTGCATCATTCAACCTAGTGGGACAATCTCCCTATCCCTCAGGGCACTTTGTTTCTTGCTCTATCAGGGGTTCCAACTAGCAGCATGCATTCCGAAGATGGTTACCCTTGCAGACTGATGATTAAGTAGAAAGCTGGCCAGCCCATGAAGACACTAAACAGGGGGCTACCCACAAATGTTTGAGTTTGGGTCACCTGGGGAACCACTTTGAGACCCCTTAAGCAGAGAAAAATACTGCATCTGTGTTCCCTGAGGCACCTGGCTGGGATACCCAACTTCAGACTGGCAGCTAGGAGTAGAGACTAGCCCTTATGAGAGCTGAGGGCAGTAAGCTGAATTCTCCTCCCACTTGGGCTTTGATCTTCCATGGATACTTAGAAATTCTTCTCTCCCACTTCCCAGTGGAAGCAAGAAAGCAACGCAGCATGTCCACGACGAGGGTGAGGGTGCTTAGCAGTGCTACCCTGCTTTTGTGATGCTTTTTAAAAAACAATAATTTGCTGAGTTTGATTTTATTTTAGTAAATATACGCATCTACATGTTAATGAGTAAGTTAACTCTTTGGGAGTCAAGTGAAGTTTGGAAAAAAGATGACAACCTTGTTAGAATCGGGGTTAGAAGCATTTGATAAACTATGAATTATTGATGGGAATTAATCATACCCTTACACTAGATAGGAATCCAGTGGAACTGAAAGGGGAAAAGCTGAGGTCCTACCCATGTAGGCAGTTTACTGAGTTTATAACCCAGACCATGGAGTGCCCCCTAGTGGCTTGCACAGATATCGTACTCTGAATAGCTACTTGGCCATACCTATCTTACATATTAAGCTAGTATAGTAAGATTTAGAGAGATTGAAGGATTTAAATACAGTCATATTAGCTGGTTGACAGAATACCTGGAATTAGAACCCAGGTCACGAAAATTCCAAATCATACAGGGGAGGCTCCTGAGCTATGAAAGTTCTCATGTTACTTAGGTCTTTTTCCTAGTTTGGGAAAGGAAGTAGTCTTGCTGGGAAAGCACCATTTTGAGATTCAGGAATTCTATTTCTGCCTGTACAGGTGACTGATTGGGTGAGTCATTGAATCTTCCCATAATTTTGTTTATATGTTTTAAATATAGTTGAAATGCTAATGACCTTGTTCAGATCCAGTATTTGTAGAGTTGTTGGGTTAGGTTTTTTAAAGTTGCTTAGAGATAAGTACTTCAAATATTTTAAGTAATATTTTAAGAATTTGAGCTATATCTTTAACTCAAAGGTAATATTATCGGCCTAACCTCCAGGATTTATGCCTTATGTAATGCAGATTTTCAAAAAACTATTTCTTTGAGGACAGGATTTGTTTTTCATTTTGTCGGGTTGAGTCCAGAATTAAACAGGAGGAAAACAGGCTGGATTGCCCTTGAGAAACTGCAAAGCTTTTTTAATGCCTCCTTAAACTTCTCCTAAAAACAAAAGCTCATGTTTTAATAGCATTCTTTTACCCATGTTATCGTTTGGTCATGAAAAAGGAATATTTCATTCTCTGTGGAATTTAAAGTAAGTCTTGTTGGTATGGAAATGGAGAAGTGTGTAGTAGGTAGGAACAGGCTTCAGTTTACAAGGAGTAGAGGGCAACTAGATGAGAGGCCTAGAGTCAGGAAGACTCATCTTTCTGAGCTCAAATTTGGCTTCAGACACTTACTAGTTGTGTGACCCTGGGCAAGTCATTTGACCCTATTTGCCTCAATTCCTCATCTGTCATATGAGTTGGAGAAGGAAATGGCAATCACTCTAGTATCTTTATCAAGAAAACTCCAAATGGGGTCAGAAAGAGTCAGGCATGCTTGGAAAACAACTGTACAACAACAACAACAATATGACAAATAAGGAAACATTTGTATAAAGGACATCCTCAGGGAAAATGTATGAGTGAAAAAAAAAACAACAACAACCAGGCAATGTGTCAAGAATGAGGGATAGCAGGTATAGCCAGGGTTTCTCAGCATGCTTGGTTCTTTCATGGGGGTGCCATTGAGGAGCCTTTTGAGCATGCCCAGTTTGGGCACTGTGTTCCCTATCACATGTGTGGCCTTAGCTTTAAAAGGCCAAAGTCTTCGACTGCATCTGGGGCCATTTCCAGTCACCCTGATATGTGTCTGGCCACTGGACCCAGATGGCTCTGGAGGAGAGAGTGAGGCTGGTGACTTTACACAGCCCTCCCTCACTTTAATCCAATTCACTTGCATGCCATGGCATCACCTCTCTGGTGTCACGGTCCTCTTTGAGAACGAAGGATGAACAGCAGCAATTAACAACCAAAGCTATGAGTTCTATGATGCATTTCAGTATCTATTGTGCCTAGCATGGTAGAGACTTAATAAATCCATATAGGATTATGTAAACTCATTCATCATTTTATAGCTCTTTGAAAATACATTTTAAGATTCAACCCAATATATTTAAATAGCTCTTTGAAAATATATTTAAAGATTCAACCCAAGTATGGAATGATAGAAAGAGCCCTAGACTCAGAGTGTGGAGGGCAGGGTTCGCATCACCATTTTCCACTTACTTGCCAGATGACCTTGGCCACTGCACCCTTCACTGGCTCTCATTTCCCCTTCTATAATAAGAGGTGGGGGGAGTTGGGTCTAGATGACCTCCGAGGAGCTCTAATGGTCTATGACTATGCCATTATTGTTACTTTACAGTCAACAGTGAGTGCAAAGACACCAACTCCTAAGCGGTGTAGTGGTAAGTGCATTAAGGATGCTGAATCATGGTACGGTCTTTTGTTCCATAGATTCTGGGGGAAAAATAGTTTACAATAGAGTAGCACTTCAAGTGGGAAGCCCTAAAAAAAGACACGATGCTCATTTATAAACTATGCATCAAGGTCACCATTGTTTATCCAACTGACCTAAGAAGGCCATGTGAAAATTTTATAGATGATGTGATCATAAAAATATTATTTTAGCCTCTAGAGCAGAAGCCTAACAGCCATGACAAATGGATTTCCTGTAACGTGAAAAACCTAGGCCGATTTTAAGAGGGACACAATATCTCAGTCTGATGTTTGCTATAGAGAGACAGCTACTTAGCACAGTGGATAAAATGCTAGACTTTAAGTCAGAGACACCTGAGTTCAAATCCTGCCTCAGAAACTTACTAGCTATGTGACCCTAGGCAAGTCATTTACCTCAAAAGGTGGCTATGGTAATCAAATGAAATAATCTAGTGCAGTTTGGATTCAGTCAAAGGGCCAAGCTTGAGGACCTAAGAGGGCCACATGTGGCCTGGAGGCTGCAGGTTCCCCACCCCTGTTCTAGAACCAACAAGTTTTCTCCATGTGTAAGTCTAAATTTTATATCCTTTTCTCAGGAGTTTTTGGATAAACATACTGCCCATCTTATATGCAGAGATTTGTATTTAATTTTCTAATGAACAGGAGAAGTATTAGAAAGTGCATTAGATTGGGAGACAAACAATTTGAGTTCTAGAACGGACCCTATAGCATAGATGTCTCAGCACAGTGGCTCCTGGTGGCTTAGGGAGCAGTGACTGAAAAAAGGGTGGGAGAAACAGGTTAGAGGCAGAGCAAAAAGAAGCACTTTTATTTCTGTTCAATGGATTTTTATCATGACATTAATTTACATAAGGCTCTGTGCTTGCCACTTGAAGTGTGAAGATTTAAAATGAACACAGTCCTGCCCTCAAGAAGCTTACTGTCTCTTTGGAAGATGAGACACATGTACAAATTGCTATCATTAAAGTGGTTATGAGATGAGAGCATAGGAGGGTCCTGAGTGAGAGGCATGAGAGATTTGCAGAGGAAGGCAAGGATCAGCATTAGTTGTTGAGATGAGGGAAAGTGTCACAGAAGTGACAATCAGAGCTATCTTAAAGTGAAATGAGCTATCTCAGGAGGTAGTGCTTAGTGCAGTGCCTGACACATAGTAGGTCTTTAATAAATGTTTACTGGTTGATTGATAGTGGGTGCCTTCTCATTGGAGGCCTTCAGCAAAGGCTAGATGACCACACATTTCCTATGTCATGGAGGAGACATTCTCTGCCTCCCCAACCCTAGCATGATTTGTGTACTAAAAGTTCAAACTTTGAACTGTGATTATGAAAAAAAGTTTCAATTCAATTTTATTCAGTTTGATTTGATTCCATCCAATTCAATTCAATCAGTGTTAAGAAATGCTGGATAAATCAAATATTTGGCTGAATCAAATTTGTCAAATACTAAAACATATCTAATACTATTCTAGCATTTATCCAATACTGATTGAATTAAAAGACATTATGATGGTGTTGAAGATACAAAGGGAAAAATAAAACAGTAGTCCCTAGTCTTAAGGAACTTATATTCTACTGAAAGATTTTAGATTTTAAGGAGTGAGGACCTTTAGGAGTAAAATATCTGATTTTGCACTCCATTTTGCAGACTGGTAATATATTGTGATGGATGAACCAGTGTTCGTTGAAACTCTGAACAACTGATTGCTAAATTTCTTTGTAATTCTAACAGGCTAGTATGAGCTAGCACCTTCTTTAGAGATGCCAAGATCCCCAGCATGAATTGCGCAAATACGAGTCCCCATGTGAGGTGCTAACAATTGCTTAGAGCTTCAGAAGTACTTCCTGGTCCATACCCTGACTAACACGAGTAGGCATTTGTAATAATTTTGTCCTTTGTCCAGCACTTAGTTTTGTTTTCTTTTTGCTCTTGGTGAGTTAAGTTTATAGTGACCACTTTACTCAGTGCATGGAATGTGTTCTATTTTTGGTTATTGTTGATATTAAAACACTCCTAACAATAATCCATCTAATGTGCTTATATCACTTTCCCCTTATCTTACTCTTTTGTCCTAAGAGCAACAAACTCTACCCTCCCAATGCCCTCTTGGTGCCTTTGAAACTTGTGAAGGAGAATATTTATAATACACGAAGTTCCCAGAACAGCAGGCAAAAATAAGGGAGGAGAAGGACCGGGGTTAGGTTTACCCACCGAGGAATGGACAATGGAGCCAAGATTCAAGTTCAGTGAAGCTTGAGAAGAGTAAGTCACGATCAGGAACACAAAACAGAAAATTGATTTCCCTGGGGAATTCATGTCTTCAGGTTTGTTGTATGGCCTGAAATAAGAATAACGTGATTTGTAGTAGTAGAGCAGTAGATTGATAAACTTGTTACTTATTTATAGCATGGAAAAAATGAAAAAATCTTATTTGCAAAGCAACAATGGTGAAGGACTTCTTCAAGTGGGATGGAAAAAGAAAAGCCGCAAAAAAAAATCGTCTCTCTCTAGGCTCCTAGACTCTTGCCTGTGAGAATTCATCTGGTGAAATAGAGAGAAGTAGAACATTTAAGACTAGAGGAGGAAGCAGAGGAAGACAGAACAGTCATAGGTAGATTTGGAAATGGAAAAGTCCTTAGAGAAAATTTAGCTCAAGCCCCTCGTTTGACACACGAAGAAACTGAGACCAATAGTGGGGAGGTGCTTTACCCAATGCCACACACATAGCAAGAAGCCAGTATGGGACTGAAACAGATTCTCTGACCCCAATCCAGAATTCTTTCTACTATTCCATGCTGAAAGACATTATTATTTAGGAGTTTTGGAAACTGAACATATCTTTTTGTGGCAGCCTAATGATTTTTGGAAACTCTTTGCAATGCTTGATTGAGGGAACAAATTTTTATGGCCAGATTAATCTCTGTTGCATCTAAAAAGTGGTAACATACTGCATGCTTCTTTGTTAGAGCTCAGTTCTCTTTCCCTGTGAGTCCCTCAGGATGATTCTGCCTGGGAATGAATCAGGAGGTTAGGGTAGTCATTTAATTTTTTTTTTGATCCTTCCACTTGGTATCATGACAAGTCAATCTGCAGAACTGAAATGAGACCCAGTCTGAAGGCCTGAAGGATGCTGAGCCATCCTAAACTCCTGATTTACCACCGAGGAGAGACTTGAGCATATGGGTGAGCTGACCTCACCCCAATTTTTCACTGTCTCCTAATGCTCAGTATTGGGGCAGCTACATGGCACAGTGGATAGAGTGCCAGGCTTGGAGTCAGGAAGACCTAAGTTCAAATCTGACCTTAGATACTTAACCCTGTTTGCCTCAGTTTTCTCATCCATAAAATGAGCTGGAGAAGGAAATGGCAAACTACTCCAGTATCTTTGCTAAGAAAACCCCAAAAGGTATCATGAAGAGTCAGACATGACTGAAAAATGACTATACAACAACAAAAACAATGCTCAGTATGGATTTCTAAAATTCTCAGACTTCTTTCTTTAGGCAAGTCAATCAATCACTAAGCTTCTATTAAACTCTTACTATATATACCAGACACTGCCAGGTACAAAAATGAAGTACTCTCTCTTGAGTTCTAACCAGCTTGTATTTTATCAGGAGAAATAATATGTACACACCTAAATGTGTACATCTATTGCCTTCTGCCTTTGACAGAAATAAGAAAGTCTAGAAGAGAGGTGGGTATTTTGAGGATAGAAAATGAGTACTGTTTTGGACATGTTGAGTTTAAGATAGCTGCTGAGTAGCCGGTTTTAAACGTCCAAAAGGCAGTTGGTGATATGGTCCTAGAGCTCACGAAAGAGACAAGGGCTCAGTAAATAGCTGTGCATGTCATCTCTATAAACGTGACAGTTGAACCCAAAAGAGTTGATTAGGTCATCAAAAGAGATTGTAGAAAGAAGGGCAAAGAGGGACAACAACAGAGCCTTGTAGTACACCCACAGCTAGAGGGTGGGATACAGATGGTAACCCAGAAAAAGAAGACTGAAAAGGAGTGGTCAGTCACCCACTGCATCCTGGGTTGTTGCCAGTCATCTTAACCTTTGTCTTGCCACTGGACTTTGATGACTCTAGAGGAGAGAGCGAGTCTGATGACTTTGTGCAACTCTGCCTCACTTAAATCCAATTCACGGGCACGTCAAGACATCACCCTCACAATGTCATTGGTCCTTTTCAAAGAGGAAGGACAGAACAGCAACAGAATCAAGAAGGCAAGAGGGGAGGGACAATTCAAGAGTAGAAGGTGGTAACAGCAAATATCAAAACCAAAGGTAACGTCATATCAAATGTTACAGTGAGATTAATAATGATGGAGACTGAGAAAAGATCATGACATTTACCAAAGAAGAGATCACTGTTAACTTTAGAAAGAGCGATTTCAGATGAGAGAGAAGGTCAAAAGACTAAGATGTTATGGTGGGGAGAGAAAGTGGAGGTGAGGCGTACAGAAAGCTTTTTTCTAAGAGTTCACACTTTATGGTTATAGAGAGTTAGAAGTAGCTTTAACAGCCCAACACTCCAGTTTTACAGTTAAGGAAAGTAAGGCACAGAGTGGTTAAAGGAAATGCCAAAGATAGTACAATTAATAAGTGATAGAGCTGAAATTTGAGCATAGGTCACTTGATTCTAGACCTAGCATTCTTGCTACTTTACCATGTTGGTTTGGTTATGTAAGGGGGAAAAGATACAAGATGGCAGCTTGAAGGAATGATGGGATCAAGTGAACATTTTTTAAAGACTGTGAAAATTTAGGTCCATTTGTAGGTAGCAAGAAATGAAACAGGAGATAATGGAAGATTAAGATTAGAGAAAAGGTATCATTAGGGAGGTAAGTTGCCAGAGGAGATGGGAGAGGAAGGGGTTGGGGTACAGGTAGGGGGACTGGCCTTATTGAGGAAAAAGGCCATCATTTCTTTAGAGACCAGAGTAAAGGAAGGAAGATAGGGATAATGTCAAGGGCATTTTGAGATGGAAGAGAGAAAAGGTTAGTGGCTTCTATGTTCTCAGTAAAGTATATGGAATGGTTTTCTGAGGAGGGAGGGATCAGGAAGTGGAGTGAGAGACTTGAGAAGACAGTGTTTGGTATAGCTGTAAAGGGAGATAGTATAGATAGGGAATCAATTAGGGTTGGAAAGAATTCATCAATTTCTCTTAAAATATTAATGCGTCAATAAAGAAACTTGTTTAATTCCTACTTTGTGTAATAGGTACATGGGGGTGGCCAGCCACATTACAGAGACTCATGTTTACCTCAGTCAGTTTTTGGACTGTTCCCCACTACTCAATACACATATCTACTCACTTTCTGGGTTGACTGTCTAAATTTGCCCTACCCTTTCAAGTGGCAAGACTAGGTTCTTGGAGAAGGATCACCACTGAGTGGTTACCAAGATCTTTTGAATAATTCTATTATGGTGGAATACCACTCTCCCTATTCACCATGTTGTTAGCTCTCAATGTGCTTCCATTTATAGAAAACAGTTACTCACAATGATGACATATTTAAATTTTAAACATTACTGTTTCCTTAGAAATAAGGCAAAAGAATTAATAATAATATTACAGGTATGTATAGATTAAATAAATGCAAGAATAATAACTACATTACAGTCCACACAGGTTTAATAGCCAAAACATTAATAATAACCTTGGGTCGTACTCTCTCACTAATGCAACTCAGTATTTGTTGAAGGGAGTGAGCGCACACTTAAAGAAATCTTCCAAAGAGGTACATGAGTGAAGAAAACCCATGTGCTTAGGATGACTCAAAATTCTGAAACCATAAACTTTCATGTCCTCTTTCTCTCTCAGGAACTGTCCATGAAAGTTCTTTGATAAACATAGCTTCTGTGTTAAACAAATTCTTCCACATCCTTGTTGTACTTGGCTAACATCTCACTAGGTTTGCTGTTTCAGCTGAACTAGTCAGTCCCATGGATGACTTCTCTGATTCCTCTCTACCAGCCTGCCATGATGAATAATTTCAGAATTATCACTCTAGTGTCATTTAAAATCCTCATTCATCAAACAACTATTCCATTATGTTCAGTGTGTTGTACTTACACAGGCAAGAAATTGAACTAATTATTTTAGATTTTAATTTTTAGCACCAAGAGTTAAAATGAAAAATATTTCTCATTTAAAAAAAAACCTGAGAATGAATATTTAGATAGTACTTCACGCTTATAAAGCCCTTCCACACTTATCTCCTTTGATCCTCTCTCCACAACCAACTGAGATAATTAACGTAAACATTATTATTCCTACTTTACAGAGGAACAAACTGAAACCCAAAGGAATCAAGCAGCTTTCTAGTAAGCAGCAGAGTCAGAACTCAAACCTAGATCATTTGACTCCAAGCTCAATACTCTTTCCACTGCACCAATTTCAGTTCACCACAAACTCCCAACTAACTAGTATTTGCTGTTCTCTAAGTATCCTAGTTAATAGAGGCTTCACTTTCCTTATGTCATCACAGAGGAATAGAATAGAGAGGCAGAAAGACCACAGATGAAGTTGTGGGCCAGAGATGCCTCATGACAGCTTTCCCTTACATCAGGAATATAATATGGAAATTATTTAGGGGAGGGGGGAATTTTAGAGTCAGGGGCACTATCTGTTGGCTTGTAGAAAGAGTTGTATAGGGGCAGCTAGGTGGCGCAGTGGATAGAGCACTGGCCCTGGATTCAGGAGGACCTGAGTTCAAATCTGGCCTCAGACACATAACACTTACTAGCTGTGTGACCCTGGACAAGTCACTTAACCCCATTGCCTAGCCAAAAAAAAAAAAAAGAGTTGTATGGGGAGACTGTGGGAGCAGGTAGTAGCCATAGGAGTCAGCACATATTTGGTAGATCAGGGTATTTTCAAAGAATCACAGAAGCCTGGAACTGGATGAGACCTCAGATGCCATTTAGTCCAGTCAATACATGAACAAGAAATCCTTCTAACATGTAATAGAGAAGTAATCATTCAACCCTTGCTTAGAGATAGGGGTATGCCGGTAATTAGGCAGCCAGGTGGTAAAGTGCATAGAGTGCTTGTCCTGGATCCAGGAAGACTCATCTTTCTGAATTCAAATCCAGCCTCAGACACTTACTAGCTGTGTGACTCTGGGCAAGGCACTTGATCCTGTTTGCCTCAGTTTCCTCATCGGTAAAATGAGCTGGAGAAGGAAATGGCAAACCACCCTGGTGTCTCAGCCAAGAGAACCCCAAATCAGGTCACGAAGAGTTGGATATGACTGAAACAAATGAACAAGAAGAATTGGCCTGGCTTCACTTGTGTGTGCATGCAGCCAGCCCCCCAGTCCCTTGGG